CCAAAAAAGCCAAGTGTGCTCTTTCTCCAGTAACCTCATTCTTATGGATTTAATACAAGTGAATCAGTTGAACCCATACAATTCATGCTTTAAATAAGGGTAATCTTCTTTATGCTTTCCTTACAAGAGGCTGAAAGTGTTACAGCATTTTTTACAATTAAAAATCACATTAAGGTAACTTTATTAAGTGCTCACTAAGTGCTAGCATTGTGCTAACAGCTTTGTGTATATCGTATCCTTTAGTCCCCATCATCATCATCATCACCACCATCCCCACTTTACAAAGGAAGGAAAGTGAATCACAGAACACTTGACAAGCCTATACTCTCAGTGGCACATCTGCATTTCAAAGATACAGTTCACATTCCAACATTATAAAATTACTTAACTAAATCCATCCACAAAGAAACACAGAATGTAGGAACCATATTTCTTGGTATCACAGAACTTTCAGAAATAGGAATGTCTCCAAGTTTATAAAACAATATTAAAATAACTTCCTCAATGTTGATTTTACCTCTAAAAATGGCTCTGAAACCACTAGCCCTTTCACTACTTGCTTCCTGGAAATAAGAAATCAACAAGTATGGTTTCCTAAAAATATGTTTATGCATGCATCTTTGCATCTAATATGCATAATTTATATTCTACTGGTTAGTTATTTCACTGCATAGCATTAAAACTGACAGTATTTCTTAGTGTCTGTATAAAACACACCGACTTCCAGTGCTCCAAATGACTTTGGCAGCCATAGCTTAATGAAAAGCAAGAAAAAACTTGGAATGTCATCGAGATTTCTAACTGGTTTCTTGTACTTCCTAAGGTTATGATATCCTAAAAAAATTGGCAGAATCAAATGGAAGTATCCCGAAATAACAGCACTACAGTATAATATTATTCTAAATATAAGTAGATAGAAAGGAAAATAGAGGGCCAGGGATTTAGCTCAGTTCCACCACCTGCCTCACAAGCACAAGGTTCTGAGTTTGATCCTGGGTACAAAAAAAAAAAAAGGGAAAATAAAATGAATCCAAGAAATAGAGGTCTTTTTCACAGAAGTGAGAAGTATTCAATTTTTAGGTTTGTGGATTTTAGGAAAGTCTGGAAAAAACAAATTATTACTTAATTTATCAATGTGATTATGAGGGAAAAGTATGGTAGACGTTTACTTCCACAGCACTAAATCTGGATGAAACACTTGGTGATGAAAACCTGTCTATTCATGTGCACAGTCTGGGGCAAAAAAAGTATTTGCATCTAGTACACTTCCTTCATTTTCAATGAATTTCTTTACCCTAATATTTTAGAGATATCCTCTCTGCTTTATAGATTTCTAGGCAGAGAAATTAATACATAATTATGAAACCACAAGTGAGTTTCCTATGGCTGCTATAAAAAAATATTATCACAAATTCAGCAGCCTAAACAGATTTTTACCTTGCAGCTCTGGAGGTCAGATGTCCAAAATTGGTCACCCTGCGCTAAAATTAAGGTGTCAGAAGTGCTGTATTTCTTTTAGTTGCTCTATGGGAAAATCAGTGCTGTCTTTTCCAGTCTCCTTAGGTGTCCCACATTCCCTGCCAATAGTCCCTTTCATCTTCAAAGCCACCAACAAGCAGCATGAATCTTTCTCCTGCTGTGGTCTTTCTTTTTCTTCTGTCTGCCTCTTCCAATTTTAAGGACCCTTGTGATTTTGATGGACCTCCTGGATATAGCAGGATACTCCATTTTTAAGGACAGTTGATTGGGAAACAATTCCACCTGTGAACTTAATCTCTCTTTTTCATGTAATATAGCATATCGCTAGGTTCTTCAGGTTAAAATTTGAGCATCTTGAGGAAGGAGAGGAATTATTCTAGCTATCTCGTGAGTTATTATCTACTTTTGAATCAGGAAGTATCAGAAACAACATTTTTGCCTTTCTTAGCACTCTGAGACGGCTTTGAAAAGTACGTAGTACGAGCACACAACTATGATTTAGTGCTAACCCATGGATACTAGTAAACATTTAACAGCCTTCTCTAGTAGAAACAAAGGGAGGCTGATTGTAGCATTTGCTGATTTCTGTAGTGTAAAATTTCTACCATATGCATTTTCATGCTACCAACAAGTCAACTCACTCTCCCAAATCCTGACAACTAAACGGTCCATTCTCCTGAGCCAGGTTACAGCAGTTCTAGCACACCAGTGGAAGCATAACACCAGTGTCATTCTCTAGTCTTGGGAATGCAAGTTTGACCAAAGCATTTCAGTGCTTTCACCAAATGTCCCCCTTCACCTGTAGGATTAACGGTCTCCGAGCTCCATGACATGACTGGATACTGATGAGGTGGATGCTTTTTACACCCTCCTATTAAGGATCAACACACATATTCACACAGAAACACACACACACACACACACACACAACTAGCAGAAATTCAATTTACTGTCTACTCGCTGCTACATGCATAGTTAGTGACCCATCAGAATGAGACCCACTGTCCCCTGGTGACCCCTCTGAATGTGAAGGGCAAAGTGTTGGGATGCGGGGTGAGGTCAACACAACAGCTCAAACTAGCAGCACTTGGTGGAAACAATTGCTTGGCTGCTTCTTGGTTCTCACTTCCTGGCAGCAGACACTTGCCTGAGGAGGAGAGCAGAATTCTGTAGACCGGTACCCATGTGTACATTCGCTGCACATTTTAAAGAGTAAGTGCTCCATAAGCATAGTCATTATCGCTTTCCTTGGCCATTTTCACACTGGGAATGTGAAATATGTTACTTCTAGATGGCTAATGTCTGCTTTTCTATCTGACATAAGCTACTAAACAGGCTTATGCTGTATTTAGTATGAAAAGCAACAGATTTAGATGGGAGAAGATGGCTGGGTCACAGTGGCAGTGCAGGTCAGTCAGAGAAAACAAATCCATGGAAAGCCTAGGGCAGGCGGCTTGTTCTTTTGGGAAGCTGTTTCCATCAGTACTCTCCAAACTGTCATGTGCACAGGAATCACTGGGTAGTTTGTTAATATGCAGTTGCTAACTCAGTAGGTCTGATGGGGGCTTGAGTGTCTGCACTTCAGCAAACGGCCCATCTAAGGGCCACGTACTCAACGGGTACCCCATCTTCTATTCCCCACAAATTCATGTCAGTAATCATTGCACTCACCACTGTAGAAATGACAATCTAATTAAGATTTCTGTTTTTGATTGACAGCTCTATGTCTAGTGCTGTGGAATACACCTCGGAAATAAGAAAATACTGCTTTTACCTGATGTTAAAGAACAGTTTCAGGCCAGCAATATTTATGAGTAGTACATACTAAGACCCATAACGAAGTGAGCTATAAGCACAACTGCAAATTGGCCAATTATAATTATGGGTATTAAATGACAATTTATAAATTATTTGTAGAATAATAGGCTGCAATACAATAATTCTTCAGCATCTACAAGCCTCTTAATTCAATTCCTGATGATTTTTTTATTCCACCTGTAACAGACAGACAGACAATGTACAGAAGATCCCTTCTCTACACAGACCAAAGCATGAGCTTTTTTTGAAGGGATAAAGGGCAGAGGGTGGGGAGAAGGAGAGAGGAAGAATGAGGAATAGAAAAGTATGAGGAGAAAGGTATATTTTTTAAAAGTTGTTGTAAGAAAAAATCTTTGCAATGGAAGTGTAATAGCTGGTTGATTAGAAATGGATTACTGAATCAAGCCTTGTAAACAAAGTTTCTGTCATCTTTTTTTTTTTTTTTTTT